ATAAAATTTGTCAAAACCTGTGATTTTTTTGTATTTTAAATTTTATAACTTTTAGTCTACTTCTATGAATCCAACAGTCAAAAAAAGATAACCTTTGGAGAAAATATAAAAGGCTAGCTATTCCTAGGCAGGTGCTACCCATCAGAATGTACACACTTGCATGCTCACTTATGATACATTCTGAGACCTTGAGTGATGGTTCTCCTGGAATTATCTGCCCATTTCATTTCATTAGTTCAATGACAATTAAGAATTGTATCTATATTGAAATGAAGGGGCTAATGATGCAATATATCCTCCCTTTAATTTAGAGGCAAGGCATCGGCATATTCACTCAGTTGATAGTTTGTATTTTTGGTTATTTCTTCTTTCCTGTCCCAATTTTGCCTTCACCCAATATTAAGAAGTATATTATATGTCAAAAAAGTACACAGTGAACATTTGGGTACAGTTTTACATCAAATTATATCCTTAAACATGTCAGCAGGCACTATTCAAGACACTCCACCAACTCGATTTTCCATACTTTATAGTAAATTCTAATAGAACAATAGCAGGTTTTGTATGGCAAATACATGACAGAAAAAGAAAAAAAACCCGCAGCGCTATGGACTGCACAATGTCACATATCATTTAAACATCTCAGAAACGTGTGCTACTATCATTAACACATTACACACCTTAGCTTGCCTAGAGGGATGTGACATGCAAGTTCTTGTTGTTTCATAAATGAGAAACTGAGGCCTTGGGCCTGAGTGACTCAGTGGCAAAGCCATGAAAATTCTGTTTTAAGTATTAGTTATCTTCTTTCTTTTGCCTGTATCACCAGATACCTAAACAAGTGCATAGAATGTACTTCCTCCTCTGGCACTAGAGGAGAGTTCATTGAGAAAGGGGGTTTGCCGTAGTGGAAAGTGCTCTGGGTAGAATCAGGTTTAGATCCTCATTCTTTCTTCATCTAAACCAGCTGTAAAACCTTGGTGGTATCATCCTCTCTAAATTGGAATTGACATGAAGAACAACTGAGATGAAAGATGTAAAGATTATTTTCAATCTCCTCCTGCACACATTCCAGGGAACTGAGGCCAATTCATCCATAAACTACTACTAATCATGTCCCAGCTGGCTGTATTGGCTGGCTGTGTTTGCCAGGGTCTTGCCTACTCAGATCCACCTGTCTTTTTGTACACCTTTAAAATACTGGCTTAATAGAATTGTGCATAGCACTGTCTACAGGTCAAAGAGGAAACCCTTGTCACTCACCCACATGGGGTCCCTGAGGTCTGAGTCTTGCATGCGGATACAGTCCATGCTGATCTCAATCTTGTTCGTTGCACCATTTTCTGATGCTTCGTCCACAAAGTTCAAGTCAATGGGCTGAACTGAACATATAGGCCTAATGTAAAGGAAAGGAAATGCATTAGGCAAAGGAAGGAACTAAAATACACTTCACAATGTGTGCTTTCTGCTTCAAAGTTGGCAAGGCCTATTACTCACTTAGAGTCAGAAACTGTAATCCTAGCTCAACCATTTTCCAGATGCATAATTTCAAGAAGTTTGACTCCAAATGGTTTTTGTTAAATAAGAATCATGACCCTGCACTTCTCAAAGTACTGCTGGATGGAATGAAGGACAGAACAAATGGGTCAGAGATCGAGTACTTGGCACTATACAGTCCCTAGTATTCTAATATTCTTTTTTATCATTTTCTTAATTTAGTCATTTCAGTCATGCATTTAATAAAGGAGTAATAATACTTCTTAAAAAAAAATGCTCAACAAAATTTGGGGTTTGCTCTTCCCAGGTGTACTTATGTTGTAACCATGGACAGATCTTCAAGCTAAAGGAATAGATTTTAAGTATCAAGAAACATTGGGGAAGCTGTTTGAGATTGTTCAAGATATCACTTGCAGAAGCTCCAAAATTATATCATTTTTGAATAATGATCGTCTTTTGAGATGAGAAAATGAACAATCACTGGCTTTTGAACACTGTGGTGATCTTGGAGATATAAATTTCTTCAACATTAACTAGTTATTTACTGATTCTAGAAATGTATCATCAGCAATATTTTGTCCATCCATATGTATCTAGTTTTATTTTGTTTGTTTTTGATTTTTTTCCCGTACCAGGAATCGAGCTCACAACCTTGAACTTGCCAGGCAGGCACTGTGCCACTGAGCTAAATCCCCAGCCCTGATACGTATCTAGTTTTAATAGTTCAAGTACAACATTTACGGTTTATTGGATACTTACTGTTCCAGAAAGTCCCAGATATGCTGGAAAACCTCTGGACTGAGGAATTCACTTGTCTGCGTGCTCTGGGACATGGTAGATCGGTAATAACTTTCTTTCCAAGAGAAATGGGCAGGCGTTTCTACAAAACTTAAAGGAAAAAAAATGAAGCTAAGATTGTACTTTCTGCTTTTGTGATCATGAATATTTAAATTAAGGGACAGTCCTTGAAGAAAACATCAAGTGAAACTATAAAATCATGCAGGTACATACAGCACATTTTATAAAAACACAAAAATGAAATACATAACCTCATCTGCAGGACAAAGAGAAGACATAAATGATGGGAAGAAGTTAGCCAGAGCAGGTAAGAGCTAATGGTACAGAGTGGACTATCTCTGGTAACAGCATAAACAAAGTATTGAAATGGAAAATAGCTTGTACATGTGAGAAAATTACAAGCAACTCTATGATAGTGTGGCCCAAAATTTTGGACAGAAAATGTTGGAAAATGCTACAGGAGGAAAAATAGAAGCTTATATGCAAATTTTTAAAAATGTGCAATACTTCGATGCTTGCATTTAAAGTGTTTTTAGGTGAACATTGTATTTTAAGACAATTATAGGTTCTCATATAGTTGTAATGTGTAATACAGTGCTATCTCCGCTATTCTTTACCCAGATTTCTTCCAACAGTGATACCTGGTAAAACTAGTACAAGATACCATAACCAGAGTACACATGCACATGGATAGGCTTTACCAATCATATTCAGAAGTTTTCAATCAGTTGCAGGTAGGTATATTCACTAGTCATGTATTTAAATCTGTACAAATTTATCATTTCTGTAGGGGAGTACATCTATCCTCATAGTACTAAGGAATCTGAAAGGTGAAGTGGACGCAGACTATTTTGTATTGATTTAGACATTGTATGAAAGAAGGGTTACCACGCTTCGGTTCATATGTAAAGCAGTTATTTAGTGACTTTGTATACTAACACAGTAAGAAAACAAGAGAAAGAATTTGTAGAGCTGCAAAAAAGGTAGACAAATTTGACTATTTAGTGAAAAGGGTAAGTCACATATTGGCTGTATTATTACTAAGGGGAGAAGGAGAATTCAGGTGCCTTTCCAGCTTGCTTGAACAGAGTGTTTGAGATTCCATAGACTAAATCAGTAGGTACAGAGGGAAACTCTGGCTTGGAGAAGGAGATACAGTGAGCTGCACCTCAGCATGTTGAATCTGAAGTACCTGAGAATGAATTTGTGACAATGGATCGCTCTAAGGAACATGAAGACTCTGAGAAGTTTAGGGTATCTGACAAGGAAACCAATTTTTTTTTAATTATCAGAAGTACTATATAGATAAAGGATTCAGAAAAAGATAAGACTTAAGAAACTGGTTTCACATGAATAGGTCACTGGCAATTTGACACTCATACTATCTGCCTATTCAAATTTCAGTGATTTTAGGATTAAAGAGGAGGTATAGAGGAAATATTCTTTTGTTACAGTTGGATGAGAAGAATCTGAATTATCCCTAAAGAGGAAAAGTGGAAAGGAAGTGTCCAGAAATAAGAGAAAAACTCAAGATATATGAAGGAATGGTGTGCAGAGCAATCTTGGCAGAGGAGCCAAGGGCACGAGGAGAGAGGATGGACAAGGGAAATGTCCACAGTGTGTAGAGGTGTGTCCCTCTTCCACTATCCAGGAAGAAAAGTGAGGAGAATAGAGGTATGTCCAGAGTTTCATAGCTGTTAGCAGTGACACGAAACACAGGCAGGTCCTGAGAGTCAGAAACAAGGGCATGGGGGTGGCGAGTCAAAGCAATGGGAAAGTAGGCAGAAGGAGGAAGTAGAACATCTTTGTGGAAACGAGTGAAAAAATAGAAATAGGTGATGATCAGAACCAATGCTAGTTTTCTTTTTTCTGCCTTAGGAAAATGATAGTTTCTCTCTCTCTCTCTCTCTCTCTCTCTCTCTCTCTCTCTCTCTCTCTCTCTCTCTCTCTCTCTCT